AGCCCGAGGCCCTCACATCAAGCCCCAAGGCCCCCACATCAAGCCCCAGGCCCCCTCACATCAAGCCTCAGGGCCCCTCACATCAAGCCTCAGGGCCACCACATTAAGCCTCAGGGCCGCAACACCAAGCCCTAGGCCGCCACATCAAGCCTCACGACCGCCACATCAAGCCTCAGGACCACCACATTAAGCCTCAGGACCGCCACATCAAGCCTCAGGACCGCCACTTCAAGCCTCAGGGCCGCAACACCAAGCCCTAGGCCGCCACATCAAGCCTCAGGGCCACCGCATCAAGCCTCAGGGCCGCCGCATCAAGCCTCAGGGCCGCCGCATCAAGCCTCAGGGCCGCCGCATCAAGCCTCAGGGCCGCCACATCAAGCCCTAGGCCGCCACATCAAGCCTCAGGGCCACCGCATCAAGCCTCAGGGCCGCCGCATCAAGTCTCAGGGCCGCCACATCAAGCCTCACGGCCGCCACATCAAGCCTCAGGGCCGCCACATCAAGCCTCAGGGCAACCACATCAAGCCTCAGGGCCGCCACATCAAGCCTCAGGGCCGCCACATCAAGCCTCACGGCCGCCACATCAAGCCTCACGGCCGCCACATCACGCCTCACGGCCGCCACATGAAGCCCCAGGCCGCCACATGAAGCCCCAGGCCGCCACATCAAGCCTCATGGCCGCCACATCACGCCTCATGGCCGCCACATCAAGCCTCAGGGCCGTCACATCAAGCCTCAGGGCCGCCACATCAAGCCTCAGGGCCGCCACATCAAGCCTCAGGGCCGCCACATCAAGCCTCAGGGCCGCCACATCAAGCCTCAGGGCCGCCACATCAAGCCTCACGGCCGCCACATCAAGCCTCACGGCCGCCACATCAAGCCTCAGGGCCGCCACATCAAGCCTCACGGCCGCCACATCACGCCTCACGGCCGCCACATCAAGCCTCAGGGCCGCCACATCAAGCCTCAGGGCCGCCACATCAAGCCTCAGGGCCGCCACATCAAGCCTCAGGGCCGCCACATCAAGCCTCAGGGCCGCCACATCATGCCTCACGGCCGCCACATCAAGCCTCACGGCCGCCACATCAAGCCTCAGGGCCGCCACATCAAGCCTCAGGGCCGCCACATCAAGCCTCAGGGCCGCCACATCAAGCCTCAGGGCCGCCACATCAAGCCTCAGGGCCGCCACATCAAGCCTCAGGGCCGCCACATCAAGCCTCACGGCCGCCACATCAAGCCTCACGGCCGCCACATCAAGCCTCACGGCCGCCACATCAAGCCTCACGGCCGCCACATCAAGCCTCACGGCCGCCACATCAAGCCTCAGGGCCGCCACATCAAGCCTCAGGGCAGCCACATCAAGCCTCAGGGCCGCCACATCAAGCCTCAGGGCCGCCACATCAAGCCTCAGGGCCGCCACATCAAGCCTCACGGCCGCCACATCACGCCTCACGGCCGCCACATGAAGCCCCAGGCCGCCACATGAAGCCCCAGGCCGCCACATGAAGCCCCAGGCCGCCACATGAAGCCCCAGGCCGCCACATGAAGCCCCAGGCCGCCACATCACGCCTCATGGCCGCCACATCACGCCTCATGGCCGCCACATCAAGCCTCATGGCCGCCACATCAAGCCTCAGGGCCGCCACATCAAGCCTCAGGGCCGCCACATCAAGCCTCACGGCCGCCACATCAAGCCTCAGGGCCGCCACATCAAGCCTCAGGGCCGCCACATCAAGCCTCAGGGCCGCCACATCAAGCCTCAGGGCCGCCACATCAAGCCTCAGGGCCGCCACATCAAGCCTCAGGGCCGCCACATCAAGCCTCAGGGCCGCCACATCAAGCCTCAGGGCCGCCACATCAAGCCTCAGGGCCGCCACATCAAGCCTCAGGGCCGCCACATCAAGCCTCAGGGCCGCCACATCAAGCCTCATGGCCGCCACATCAAGCCTCATGGCCGCCACATGAAGCCTCATGGCCGCCACATGAAGCCTCACGGCCGCCACATCAAGCCTCACGGCCGCCACATCAAGCCTCAGGGCCGCCACATCAAGCCTCAGGGCCGCCACATCAAGCCTCAGGGCCGCCACATCAAGCCTCAGGGCCGCCACATCAAGCCTCAGGGCCGCCACATCAAGCCTCAGGGCCGCCACATCAAGCCTCAGGGCCGCCACATCAAGCCCCAGGGCCGCCACATCAAGCCTCAGGGCCGCCACATGAAGCCTCAGGGCCGCCACATCACGCCTCATGGCCGCCACATGAAGCCCCAGGGCCGCCACATCAAGCCTCAGGGCCGCCACATCAAGCCTCAGGGCCGCCACATCAAGCCCCAGGGCCGCCACATCAAGCCTCAGGGCCGCCACATCAAGCCTCAGGGCCGCCACATCAAGCCTCAGGGCCGCCACATCAAGCCTCAGGGCCGCCACATCAAGCCTCATGGCCGCCACATGAAGCCTCACGGCCGCCACATCAAGCCTCACGGCCGCCACATCAAGCCTCACGGCCGCCACATCAAGCCTCAGGGCCGCCACATCAAGCCTCAGGGCCGCCACATCAAGCCTCAGGGCCGCCATATCAAGCCTCAGGGCCGCCACATCAAGCCTCAGGGCCGCCACATCAAGCCTCAGGGCCGCCACATCAAGCCCCAGGGCCGCCACATCAAGCCTCAGGGTCGCCACATGAAGCCTCAGGGCCGCCACATCACGCCTCATGGCCGCCACATGAAGCCCCAGGTCCCACAACTTAAATAAGCTTGTAATCTTTGTCTTAAGATTATTCTCATTCTTTCCACTCTCCCTCCCCCCTACTCCCTAAACCCTTTACCTTTCGTTTACCTTCCGCTGATTCCGAGGATCAACGTCCCCGCGGCCCGGGCTCCGACCAGACCTCCCGGATGATGATGGACTGGTCAACCAGGCTGTTGGATGCGGCTGCTTGCAGCCTGACATATGAATCACAGCCTGGCTGATCAGGTATCCAGTCCTAAGTGTACATTCTTATTTAATTATTATAAAACTATTAAACCTGTACAACAGAGTAGAAGTTTACAAATTGTTTTAGTCGGTCCCAATAGTTTAGATGTTTTACTGAGTGGATTCTAGCAGTAAAGGATCTCTGCATGCTCTCCAGGTCAACAATTTCTCCAGCTTTGAAAGGGGCTGTCATTGTGCAGCAGTACTCCACTCTAGAGAGCACTAGCGTCTTCAAGCAACCTGTTAAAAAAATAACGTCCTCTTAAAAATAACGTCGCCTTTGGCCGTTTGCCCGTATGGCCGAAAATGGACGTAATTTGAAAATGAAAAAAAGTGATTTTTTTTTCAACAACAGTAAGTTAAGGGTCCTCTGATAGGTTAGGTGGGCAGGAAATTCTCATAAAGTTTCAAAACGTTATGAAAAACGTGAATTGAAAGTTCCCTCTTCTAACCTTGCAGAGTAGGCCGGACGACTTAAACAGAAAACGGGACAGAACGTCACTTTTGTGAGTCGATTTCATTTCAAATTACGTCTAAATTTGGCCATAGTGCGCATACGAGCCAAAAGTGACGTTATTTTTAAGAGGACGGGTTGCTTGAAGAGAGCACTAGCGTCTTGAGTATCATCATTGGTACAGCATCTCTAGTGTGGAAGGTTCGTGTTATCCAACCTGTCATTTTTCTTGCAGTTGTGACGGCTACTTTAGCTCAATTCGGGTCTCCCGAGGTCAGTCACCCGCGTCAGTCACCCGCGTCAGTCACCCGCGTCAGTCACCCGCGTCAGTCACCCGCGTCAGTCACCCGCGTCAGTCACCCGCGTCAGTCACCCGCGTCAGTCACCCGCGTCAGTCACCCGCGTCAGTCACCCGCGTCAGTCACCCGCGTCAGTCACCCGCGTCAGTCACCCGCGTCAGTCACCCGCGTCAGTCACCCGCGTCAGTCACCCGCGTCAGTCACCCGCGTCAGTCACCCGCGTCAGTCACCCGCGTCAGTCACCCGCGTCAGTCACCCGCGTCAGTCACCCGCGTCAGTCACCCGCGTCAGTCACCCGCGTCAGTCACCCGCGTCAGTCACCCGCGTCTCTCGTCCCCAGATAGTCATTCCCAGGCTGGATGTACCCCTCCTTTTTTTTCTTTTTGTTTGGGGGGGGGGGAGTTAAGAGGATGGAGAGGCATAGGTGAAGGGAAGTCTATAAGTGGGAAATACAGTGAGTTATGAAAGCAGGCGGGCTGTCCGCCTTGATGACCCCCCCCCCCCCTCCAGGGCCAGATTTACCCCAACCCCTGACCCCCACAAGGGCCGGACTTCTCCTCTCCAGGACCGGACTCTTAACTAGTCGACGGATCTGTCCTAACCACTTGGGCTGGCCGGGGGCCAGATTCACGAAAGCACTTACGCAAGTACTTACGAACGTGTACATCTTTCCTCAATGTTTGACGACTTTGGTTACATTTATTAAACAGATTACAACCATGAAAACTTGCCAATCAACTGTTGTTGTTGTTATAAACAGCCTCTTGGTGCTTCGGGGCTCATTAACTGTTTAATAATTGGAAACAAAGCCGCCAAAGATTGAGAAAAGATGAACAGGTTCGTAAGTGCTTGCGTAAGTGCTTTCGTGAATCTGGCCCCGGGAGAGCGCCGATCTCGCATCATGCAGGTCGGCGTTCAATCCCCGACCGTCCAAGTGCTTGGGCAAAATTCCTTCCCCCCCCCACCCCCTCCGTCCCATCCCAAATCCTGACCCCCCTTCCAAGTCGTAATGGCTCGTCGTTTCCGCTTCCAAGACTGCAGGACCGGACCCCCTCCCCCCCCCCCACCAACAGAAGCGTCCCAAACAGTTTGGACATCTCCATAGCAGTTAGTTCCGCCACACCCATCATCCACCATCTTTGTATCCAGCCTCCCACAATCCTTCCCCCCCCCTACTGCCTCCGTCCCCCCCCCCCAACATCTCTCCCATCACCGCTGAGAATGGTCCAGCCACACGAGGGAGGGAGGGGGGGTATCCACCCCCCCCTCCCTCAATATTCAGGGGCGTCGCAATCCTTTAACTTGAAAATTGTGGGAGCAGGACGAAGTGGGGCCATGGGGTGAAGATGGGGGCCATGGGGTGAAGATGGGGGGCCGAGGTGAAGGTGGGGGCCATGGGGTGAAGATGGGGGCCATGGGGTGAAGATGGGGGCCATGGGGTGAAGATGGGGGGGCCGAGGTGAAGGTGGGGGCCATGGGGTGAAGATGGGGGCCATGGGGTGAAGATGGGGGCCATGGGGTGAAGGTGGGGGCCATGGGGTGAAGATGGGGGCCATGGGGTGAAGGTGGGGGCCATGGGGTGAAGATGGGGGCCATGGGGTGAAGATGGGGGGCCGAGGTGAAGGTGGGGGCCATGGGGTGAAGGTGGGGGCCATGGGGTGAAGATGGGGGCCATGGGGTGAAGATTGGGGCCATGGGGTGAAGATGGGGTGAAGGTGGGGGCCATGGGGTGAAGGTGGGGGCCATGGGGTGAAGGTGGGGGCCATGGGGTGAAGATGAGGGGCCATGGGGTGAAGATGGGGGGCCATGGGGTAATGATGGGGGGCCATGAGGTGAAGATGGGGGCCATGGGGGTGAAGATGGGGGGCCATGGGGTGAAGATGGTGGGGCCATGGGGTGAAGATGGTGGGGCCATGGGGTGAAGATGGTGGGGCCATGGGGTGAAGATGGTGGGGCCATGGGGTGAAGATGGTGGGGCCATGGGGTGAAGATGGTGGGGCCATGGGGTGAAGATGGTGGGGCCATGGGGTGAAGATGGTGGGGCCATGGGGTGAAGATGGTGGGGCCATGGGGTGAAGATGGTGGGGCCATGGGGTGAAGATGGTGGGGCCATGGGGTGAAGATGGTGGGGCCATGGGGTGAAGATGGTGGGGCCATGGGGTGAAGATGGTGGGGCCATGCGGTGAAGATGGTGGGGCCATGGGGTGAAGATGGTGGGGCCATGCGGTGAAGATGGTGGGGCCATGCGGTGAAGATGGTGGGGCCATGCGGTGAAGATGGTGGGGCCATGGGGTGAAGATGGTGGGGCCATGGGGTGAATGGTGGGGCCATGGGGTGAAGTGGGGGCCATGGGGTGAAGATGGTGGGGCCATGGGGTGAAGATGGTGGGGCCATGGGGTGAAGCCATGGGGTGGTGGGGCCATGGGGTGAAGATGGTGGGGCCATGGGGTGAAGATGGTGGGGCCATGGGGTGAAGATGGTGGGGCCATGGGGTGAAGATGGTGGGGCCATGGGGTGAAGATGGTGGGGCCATGGGGTGAAGATGGAAGCCATGGGGTGGATGGGGCCATGGGGTGAAGATGGAGGGGCCATGGGGTGAAGATGGGGCCATGGGGTGAAGATGGTGGGGCCATGGGGTGAAGATGGTGGGGCCATGGGGTGAAGATGGTGGGGCCATGGGGTGAAGATGGTGGGGCCATGGGGTGAAGATGGTGGGGCCATGGGGTGAAGATGGTGGGGCCATGGGGTGAAGATGGTGGGGCCATGGGGTGAAGATGGAGGGGCCATGGGGTGAAGATGGTGGGGCCATGGGGTGAAGATGGTGGGGCCATGGGGTGAAGATGCCATGGGGTGAAGATGGAGGGGCCATGGGGTGAAGATGGTGGGGCCATGGGAGTGATGGTGGGGCCATGGGGTGAAGATGGTGGGGCCATGGTGGGGCCATGGGGTGAAGATGGTGGGGCCATGGAGTGAAATGGGGGGCCATGGGGTGAAGATGGTGGGGCCATGGGGGTGAAGATGGTGGGGCCATGGGGGTGAAGATGGTGGGGCCATGGGAGTGAAGATGGGCGGGCCATGGAAGTGAAGATGGGGGGGCCATGGGAGTGAAGATGGGGGGCCATGGAGGTGAAGATGGAGGGGTCTATGGGGTGAACAACCACCACAACAACAACCACCACAACAACAACCACTACAACAACCACCACAACAACAACAACCACAACAACAACCACTACAACAACCACCACAACAACAACAACCACCACAACAACACCCACAACAACAACCACTACAACAACCACCACAACAACAACAACCACCACAACAACACCCACAACAACAACCACAACAACCACCACAACAACAACCACAACAACAACCACCACAACAACCACCACAACACCCACAACAACCACAACAACAACCACAACAACCACCACAACAACACCCACAACAACAACCACAACAACAACCACCACCACAACACCCACAACAACCACAACAACAACCACAACAACCACCACAACAACACCCACAACAACAACCACCACAACAACCACCACAACAACACCACCACAACAACCACAACAACAACCACAACAACCACCACAACAACCACCACAACAACCACCACAACAACCACCACAACAACCACCACAACAACCACCACCACAACCACCACAACAACCACCACAACAACCACCACAACAACCACCACAACAACCACAACAACCACCACAACAACCACCACAACAACCCCAACCACCACAACAACCACACACACCACCACAACCACCACCACAACCACCACAACAACCACAACAACAACCACCACAACAACCACCACAACAACCACCACAACAACCACCACAACAACCACCACAACCACCACCACAACCACCACAACAACCACCACAACACCCACAACAACCACCACAACAACCACAACAACCACCACAACAACCACCACAACAACCACAACAACCACCACAACAACAACCACAACAACAACAACCACCACAACAACAACCACCACAACAACCACCACAACAACAACCACCACAACAACAACCACAACAACAACCACAACAACAACAACAACCACAACAACAACAACAACCACCATAACAACAACCACCACAACAACCACCACAACAACAACCACCACAACAACCACCACAACAACAACCACAACAACAACCACAACAACAACAACCACCATAACAACAACCACCATAACAACAACAACCACAACAACAACAACCACAACAACAACAACCACCATAACAACAACCACCACAACAACAACAACAACCACCACAACAACAACAACAACAACAACAACAACAACAACAACAACAACAACAACAACCACCATAACAACAACCACCATAACAACAACAACCACAACAACAACAACCACCATAACAACAACCACCATAACAACAACCACCATAACAACAACCACAACAACAACAACCACAACAACAACAACCACCACAACAACCACCACAACAACCACCACAACAACAACCACAACAACAACCACAACAACAACCACCACAACAACCACCACAACAACCACCACAACAACAACCACAACAACAACAACAACAACCACAACAACAACCACAACAACAACAACAACCACCATAACAACAACCACCATAACAACCACCACAACAACAACCACAACAACAACAACCACAACAACAACCACAACAACAACAACAACAACAACAACAACAACAACAACCACAACAACAACAACAACCACAACAACAACCACCACAACCACAACAACCACCACAACCACAACAACCACAACAACAACAACAACACAACAACAACAACACAACAACAACAACAACCACAACAACAACAACAACCACAACAACAACAACAACAACAACAACAACCACCACAACCACAACAACAACAACAACAACAACAACAACAACAACAACAACCACAACAACAACAACCACAACAACAACAATAACAACAACCACAACAACAACTCACGGGTGGTAATGATCGAGCCCTTGTATGCAAGAGCAGCCGTGACGTCACCACTACGTCACTATACGTCACTGCCACGTTGCCACATCTCCGCTGACACATACCTAGGAGGGGAAAGAATAGCAATGCGTCAGATATTTATGTTTCCGTGACGTGGCACCGCAGCACTCCGTCACACACACACACACACACACACACACACACACACACACACACACACACACACACACATTTAGAAGCAAGGTTACTTAAATAATAGGCCCAGGTAGGCTTAGTTTCAATGCTAGTACATAGTTATATTATATATTATGGTTGGCAGGGACAACCTCAGCTGGGTTGACTGGCGGGTCTGGGGTCGAGCGCTGCCTTACACACACACAGGCACGCTCCCCTGGTGGGTGTGGCCGCCAGGCTGCTGCTGCTGCTGCTGCTGCTGCTGCTGCTGCTGCTGCTGCTGCTGCTGGTGGTGACTCAGGGTGTGGCTGGGTGGTGGTGGTGACTCAGGGTGTGGCCGCCAGGCTGCTGCTGCTGCTGGTGGTGGTGGTGGTGACTCAGGGTGTGGCTGGGTGGTGGTGGTGACTCAGGGTGTGGACGCCAGGCTGCTGCTGCTGGTGGTGGTGGTGACTCAGGGTGTGGCTGGGTGGTGGTGGTGACTCAGGGTGTGGCCGCCAGGCTGCTGCTGCTGCTGCTGCTGGTGCTGCTGCTGCACCTGCTGGTGGTGGTGACTCAGGGTGTGGCTGGTGGTGGTGGTGACTCAGGGTGTGGCTGGTGGTGGTGGTGACTCAGGGTGTGGCCGCCAGGCTGCTGCTGGTGGTGGTGGTGGTGGTGGTGACTCAGGGTGTGGCCGCCAGGCTGCTGCTGCTGGTGGTGGTGGTGACTCAGGGTGTGGCTGGTGGTGACTCAGGGTGTGGCTGGTGGTGGTGGTGACTCAGGGTGTGGCTGGTGGTGGTGGTGACTCAGGGTGTGGCTGGTGGTGGTGGTGACTCAGGGTGTGGCCGCCAGGCTGCTACTGCTGCTGCTGCTGCTGGTGGTGGTGGTGGTGGTGACTCAGGGTGTGGCTGGTGGTGGTGGTGACTCAGGGTGTGGCCGCCAGGCTGCTGCTGCTGCTGGTGACTCAGGGTGTGGCCGCCAGGCTGCTGCTGCTGGTGACTCAGGGTGTGGCCGCCAGGCTGCTTCTGCTGGTGGTGGTGGTGACTCAGGGTGTGGCTGGTGATGGTGGTGGACTCAGGGTGTGGCTGGTGGTGGTGGTGACTCAGGGTGTGGCTGGTGCTGCTGGTGACTCAGGGTGTGGCCGCCAGGCTGCTGCTGCTGCTGGTGACTCAGGGTGTGGCCGCCAGGCTGCTGCTGCTGGTGACTCAGGGTGTGGCCGCCAGGCTGCTGCTGCTGGTGACTCAGGGTGTGGCCGCCAGGCTGCTGCTGCTGGTGGTGACTCAGGGTGTGGCCGCCAGGCTGCTGCTGCTGCTGGTCACTCAGGGTGTGGCCGCCAGGCTGCTGCTGGTGACTCAGGGTGTGGCCGCCAGGCTGCTGCTGCTGCTGGTGACTCAGGGTGTGGCCGCCAGGCTGCTGCTGCTGCTGCTGGTGACTCAGGGTGTGGCCGCCAGGCTGCTGCTGCTGCTGCTGGTGACTCAGGGTGTGGCCGCCAGGCTGCTGCTGCTGGTGGTGGTGGTGGTGGT